TGCTATCAGCGCACATTCTTCATGTCTCATCCTTTTTAGGCACAAGGTATACCATCGCTGCACATGAACTAGATTATGCCCAAAGAATAATGCGGTAGTTGTAGCACAACTTTGGGGAGTCGATTCCACATGAAGATGGTTGAAATGCTTAAGGAATCTGAACGATGATTGGTCTCTTGAATGTGTAGTAAAATTTATTGCTTGAGTGAGATTAAAATCAATGTTTGGGAGATAGTGAAGCATCAAAATTTCCTCAATTAGATTGGATCAATCACATCAATAATTGATTCTATTTACTTAATTAGAGATGTTTTACCTAACTCTCTAACTAGAAGAAATAACATTAAAAATCAATTTAGTTCAATTGTAATCCTAGAATCTATATTTCCTATAACACTTACGCCCTTTTTATTGGAATAAGAATCGAAAAAAACCATATACACCTAGCATAAAGTATTAATCAATCTACCAATAAAATAAATGAAATTAATACTCAACAAATAGCTCAATTCTTCGATAGACAAAGCATGACTGAATTTATGAAAAGTTTAATAAAAGCTAAGCCAATCTCAAAATAAACTTATGAAAAGAATGTCTAAACCTAGGATTATTCAGCATAGAAGGACCAAATTACATAAATAACTGATGTAAAAACACCAAATCCAACCGAGTTCCTTCGTAGCTTTACCAAAATCTTTAGTTCCTCATGAGAAATTCTTGAGCTCCAAGGGTAAAGATGTGTATGGAGGCGTTCTTGTGTGTTCTGGGATGTATTAGGGTTCAAATACGTGAATCCCCACTTGTTTCCATAGATAGTTGAACGAGATTAGGAAATTAAATATTCGCCCCCGAACATAACTATGCAACCGCATGCAGATGAACTATGAAGTCACATAGTTCATGAAAATTGGTGTCCACTTCCCTAAAGCAGTGTATGCAGCTACATGGGAGATAACACTATGCGACCACATAGTGTTGTGTAACTTCCAAAATCTGTGTTTTAGTCTAACTCGGGTTGCTCAACTTTTGACCTCTTTCCTTGTTTCTTCTTCATCCAATGCTTTATTTCTTAGTCCAATTTGATCTCGACATCTTTGCATATTCATTTCATTTTCCGGTTCATTTTTGATTATTTGCATCTTGATCACTGAACTTTGCTTTTCCTTTTTTTGGTCATTTTTCCACTTGTTCCTCTTCATTTCAGATATATTCATTACGTTGTCCTGTAAAACATAAATTACATAGAATTAATTAAATTCCAACATATTAATAAACAATTATCCATGTTTTTTACAGTAAAATAAGTGTGTAAAAATGCAGTTATCAAACTCCTCCCAAACTTGAACTATTATTTGTCCTCAAACAAAATTGTAACTTAACTCTACATAAAACATGGTAACAACCTGCCATGTTTCAGAATTGAAATTTAGTAATCAAACAAATGAACAGTTTCAACAGTGCATAAATTAAATCAATCTCCACCTATTAAATGCATAACTCGATGTATATGTATGTGAAAACTCATGTCAACATATTAAGATCACGATTGGCTTAACATCTGACCCATA